CCCCTTTGGTCCCATCCTCCTTTGTGGGGCCCGTTTGGACTGGAGCCTGGGCTCCAAACTGTCCATTCTGGCTTGGGCTTTGCATTTCTTTACAACGCCACTTCCACAATCTCCCTGTAAGCTCTCTGGGTGACACCCATGAGCCAGAGGAGTTTTAACGCAGGCTCTGTGCTGACACACACCTCATACAAGCCACATCAGCCCTGCCTACCAAGGATGAGCACCCACCTCAGCCCTCAGGCAATAGCTGGCAACCCAGAAACCCCTGCCCGGCCTCTGATGTCTCCATCCAGCCCTCACTGCTCTCTCAGGTGGGAACTGGACACTGGGGGCCCCCACGCACCAAGGGGACACCTCCCTCCACGAGTTTGGCAGCCCCAGGGTATTGCAGCAGTATTAATGAAGCAGATCTTGAGCAAGAAACATTCTCCTATGAAAAATCAAGGCTTAAAATGGCATAAATCTGGGGCCATTTGCCAAGTTGCAGATTAGTATCTTTAACCTGCATGCATGACTGCTTGAAACTTCAGGAAATGATGTTACTTCATGCTAAACTTCATGTTAAACTTGATTGGCATGAAAAACTGGCCTTTTACAAAGGCATCAGAATGCTTTAGATAGATAAGCAGATAGGTAGATGGATGGATAAGTGAATGGGTGGATGGATAGACAGATACACACATAAGTAGACAGGTATAGATAGATAGGTTGATAACAGATAAGTAGATATGTAGATGGGTAGTTAGATACAGCTATGACAATTAGAATTAGCCATTGGAAACAGAAAAGACAAAGGCTTAGACACACAGCAATAAATGGATAGAAGAAAAAAATATATTGGGGAACATAACATCCATTTGTGGAGTAAGTGTTCATGAAGTCAGCCAGCTGCATGAGGGCCTAGTGACACCAGGGGTCTCCAGGACACTACTCTTCTCCTAGAACGTCAGGCACAGAGGTTAGCAATGGGCCAGGGAGCTACAACGGGCCCACTGCCTGGCTTTGTAAATCGAGTTTTATTGGAACACAGCCTTGCCCATTCTTTTCCATATTGTCTATGGCTGCTTTCTCACTACAAAAGTAGAATTGAGTAGTTGGGACAAAGACCTTACAGCCTGCAAAGCCAAAAATATGCCAAAGCTCTAGCTTATCAGCTTGGTGGAGCAGAAAGAAGGTTTACTTTACAATGAAACCTGAGTTCAAGTCCCCATCAGTGTGACTGCAGCAAAGATGGCACTAGAATTTTTACCTAGGGAAGACTCAGCTAGCAGTTTAGTTGGGAGAGAAGGGGCCTAAGGGACTTCCCTTGGAACTGCATTTGCAAACAAAGAACTTTAAAAAATATTAAACTTATCCATTCAGCAAATATTTATCATAAATGTTTACTGTGTGTCCGACCTTGTCCTAGGTGGTGGCACTACGGAAGCAAGAAAACCATGAAGTCCATGTCTCCATGGGGCTTAAATGCTGAAACAGAGGGAAGGATGGACAAGAAGCAATTAAATATATAACATCTCCCGTGTTCTTAAATACTGTAAACAGAAATAAGTGACAGTGGGGGGCTAGTGAGAGATGAAGAGGTGCTACTTGGAAAGGGCGGGTCAGGGAAGACATCTCTGAAGAGGGGACATTTGAACAGATTCCAGAAGTAAACAAAGGGAAGAGCATGGGGATATCTGGGGAAGAGTGTTCCAGCCAGGGGGAACAGCAAGTGCAAAGGCCCTGTGGTCCAGCGTGCACGTGTTTGAGGAGTGGCAGTCAGCGAGGGTGCCGAGTGGGTGGAAAAGGAGTGAGAGAAAGTGCTGGTCACAAGAGTGCAGGGGCCACTGGGCGCCAGACCCCCAGGTGTGCAGGCCATAGCAGTCTGGGTCATTTTCCAGGTGCGAGGGGCAGCTGTGGAGGGTTTGTGCAGAGGTATAATGTGATCTGCCTTAATTTGTAAAGGATCCCTCCAGACTTTGGGTGGGGAATAAACTGGAGCCAGAGTAGAAACAGGGGAACGAGTTGGGAGACCACACAGTGGACCAGGCCAGAGACAGGCTTGGGGGCAGCGGCTGGGGTGTCAGTCATAGTATTCAATGTGCCAGCACAGCACAGAAACCCTGGAGTCTGGTGTCTGAAGTCAGTTAAGCCTCCTTTCTAGCTCATGAAATGCCTAGTGCATGTCAGACAGGTCTCTGCCATGTGGGGGAAGAAAGACGTGAAGAACCTTCTAGAATGTCTTCAAGGGCCAGGCTTCCTGTGGCTTATAGTCACTTGGGCTCATATCCCATCAGCCAGAGTTGGCCACAGGACCCTCACAGGTGTGTGTGGGTGGTCTCTGAATGGGCCTGTGATCCTGGGGGTTTAGATTCTGTGAGCCTTGAATGCAAGGCAGACAGGACATATGCTCACTTAGGGTGACTGCTGAGGGGAAACCAGTGGGAATTTAGCCAGTAGACTCTCAAAACCAGACAAAGATATGACAAGAAAACTACAGACAAATAGCTCTCAGGATGTGGTCATCTCAATAGATGCACAAAAGCATTTGATGAAATCCAACACTGTTCAAGATAAAAATTCTCAGCAAATTAGGATAGAGGGGAAATCCCTCACCTTGATAAAGAACATCTACAAAAATACCTACAGCTAATACTATAGTTAATGATGAGAAACTCGAAGATTTCCCGTTAAAATCAGATACAAGGCAAGGATGCACCCTCGCACCACTGTTTCTAGCATCGTCCCGGAAGGCCTGGCTCATGCACTAAGACAGCACAGGGGAATGAAAGATACGCAGGCTGAGAAGAAGAAACAAGTGTACATTCCTAGTGAAAGAAGCCAGTCTGAGAAGGCTACATGCTGTATGATTCCAACTATATGACTTCCCGGAAAAGGCCTGTCAAAACAGTAAAAAGATCCGTAGTTGCCAAGGTTAAGGGGCAGGGAGGAAGGAATAGACAGGGCAGAGAAACTATTTTGTAAGACGCCACAATGGTGGGTTCATGTTACTGCACATTTGTCAAGACCCATAGATTACATACCTCCAAGGGTGACGCTTAATGTAAACAGTGGACTTTGGGTGATAACAACGTGTCAAGGAAGGTTCATTGATCGTAACAAATGCCCCACTCTGGTGCAGGATGGTGATAGTGGGGCTCTGTTCATACGTGGGGACAGGGTGTATGGGAACTCTGAACTTTCTGCTCAGTTGTGCTGTACACTAAAACTGCTTTAAAAAGTAAAACTTACTAATTTTAAAACCACTTTTTGGAATGAATGAGTGATGGAATTGCTCCTTCCTCCTGTTCCCACAGTCATTGCTTGAACTTCTATTTTTCCACCCACATCATTCCAGCCCAGCTTCAAGTTTTTACATGTCTCTTGGCTGCACAAGCCACGAGTGCAAACGTTCTCCGCCCTCTGCTGGAGTTCCTGCGGAACTTTCAAGAAGAAGAAAGAGTAAAAATTCCCAATCCTCCTTTAAAAGACAAATACGGACTGATCAGATCCCTGTGTCAGGGCGACATCACAGAAACAAAGCCAAAGCCGCTGACGGCTGCGCGAGTTCAGGGAGGGAAACTAGGCCCCCTGATTTTCAAATTGTTTTTAGCATCAGAATCAATTTCTTAAATGAACTGACAGGGAACCTCAAAACACAGAAGAGTTAACAGAGTGAAAAAAACAAGAACAGAAGCACCCAGAGCTGCTGGCACAAGAGTCCTGCCAGTTGACTCAGTCAATGAACACATTCCCTTTCCTCCCAGCTCGTCAACTGAGAAATGATAGACACGCTTCCTATATTATCGTCCAGATGATTGATGACAGCATTGGACAGGACACAGCCCAGGAGCGTGATTTAGAAACGCCCCTCCTCTTTCACATATATAGACATATTTGCAAAGATGAAATGATGTAGTTCACTTGGTCATTACCTTATAAAAATTTTCAAATGCACGGAAAAGTAAGGGCTAGCATAATATATCTAGATTTCACAGTTGTGATCCTTTGCTGTTCTTCTATCATGAACATAGACGCTGTTTTTTCCCCTATTTGGACAAAGCAGCTGTACAGGACGCTTGATCAACTGCTGGGGACATCTGAACAAAAACAAGGCCCCTCTGCAAAGTCCTGGGCTCCTGGGAACCCTCAGCGGCCCACTGGCTCAGCCCTCCCTGCGTGTTGCACACAGCGATGCTGGCCCTCAAGGAAATGCCTGAAAAACACCCAGGGCAGCCCAGCGCCTGGCTTCTGCCTGCCTCTCGGGCTCTGCCCCCTCGCTCCCCAGCACATCCTGCATTCTGACCGCATGGCTCCTGTATTTCGGCTCACAGTTCACATATCTCAGGCATCTGTGCCTTTGCTCCACCTTCAAGACACAGCTCAGGCACCACCTCCTCCAAGAAGTCTTCCCTTATACTCCACATCCATCTTACCCCAAGGTCAAGCAGAAGCCAGCACTCCCAGGCACAGGCAGTACCTGACCTTACCAGCCTAAGTAGGTGGGAGTAAAAGTTCCTTTGGCATCAGACCAGCAGGGCAGTTAGGAGAGCCTGGGGGTCACCCCTAAGCGCCTGACTCCAGACAAAAACCAAAACCAGCCTCAGATCTTAACAGGTACCCAAGAGGCTCTGGCTGTGATTAAAAGCCACAATTCTAAGCATAAGGTCCCTCTGTGGCTGCTCAGATTCAGTGCTCCTTGCACTGGAATAAGACCCTCAGGATGGGCCCCTGGGACCTCAGAAGACCACTCTCCTCTCCCTGCACTCTCCCAGGACACTCCAGCCACAAGGGACTGACCCCCAATGTTGTCATCATCCACACTTCTGTATCTCCCATCTCCCCGCTGACGGCAGGGCTGGCCTCCGTCTCTCTGTCCCTCTCCCCCCACAGTGTCCAGCAAGGGTCTGACACAGAACCGGCCTGCAAAGGTTTGCGGAATCAGGCCCCATCCAGGGCCAGTTGTCTGTGTCCCTGCAGTGCCCTCTTTTGGGCTCATCTTGAGGCTGCCAGGCACTCACCGGAGTGGGGGCGTTCACCACCGAGAGGTTGTACCCGTAGAGGAACGAGGAGCCGAGGGCGCCCACAAGAGAGGCCACGAGGAGTGAGCAGGACCAGTCCTGGGAGAGGAGATGACAGCAGGTCAGACTGGGCACTGGGGTGCAGAGCCAGGGGCCCGCAGGGCACACCTGGAGGGTCCCCTTAGCTGGGAAGGCCAGCCCAGAGAATCCCCAAGAGCACGGCTGCAAGTTCCCAGAGTCAGCTGGCAGGCAGGCTCCTGTCCAGGTTCCCCTGCGCAGGTGGGCACCTGGGCAGCCCACGGGGCTCAGATGCCTCTGTCCACAGCCTCGCCATCACTCTCCTCACTGGCTGTTCCAGGAGGGGGGACACACAGGCTGAGTCCTCCACAGGTACTCTGTAGGCCACTGCACATCATTTCAGCTGAATTTAGCCAGTTCTGACCCACAAGGGAGCAAAAAGCAATCAGACCAAGTTGCCGGCAGTAGCAGCTGGCATTTATTAAGATCTAGAGGCCAGGCATTACTCTAAGCGCTTTCTAGGGATTATCTCCTGGAATCTTCTGGTCAGTACTGTTTCCGCCTGAAACACTGAGGAAGGAGGTAAGGCAGGAGGTGCAGCGCTGGCCCTGTGGCCGTCTGGGATGGGGGCTGGAGGCCAGGGGGTCCGGTTCCGGGGCCCATGCGGCCTCTCCTCACCTGCGTCTCATCTGAGAACAGTGTCTGGGGGCCTGCGGCTGATGACAGCCACGTTACACATGCACTCTGAATGCACAAACCCGTGCACCACTGTCCCAGACTGAGCTCTCAATGAACACCCGTATGAACGCTTCAGAATGAGGACCTGCAGATGGACGGATACAGGGCTCAGCCCGAAAAGGCATCGGCCTCTTGTAACCCTGCCCCTCAGCCTCATCCAAGGATGGCCAAGTCATGACAGGACCACACAGCAGTAGCACCTGTGCCCAGCAGGACTGCCCAGCTGGCAGGAGCTGGAGGCAGGAGGGGCTGCCATGCCAGGCTGGCCAGGGGGACGTGGACCACTCTCCAGATGGAGGGGGCCCAGGTGCTCTCAGAAGGCACATTCTCTGCCACGATATAATGTGTGGGGGTCGCGGGGTGGGTGGGTGTGCACATGCTAGGATTCAGGCCCTGATGAAGCTCTGGGGACACAGCGGTAAACCAGACAGACACAGTCCACGGTTCAGGGAACCGGTCAAGTACTGTTTGGAAGAGGAAGCCGGCCCCAGTAGCCGGTTCCGGCTCTGCCCACCTCAGGAGTGTCCTCTGGCACGGACACCAGCGCTGGGCAGCTCCACCACCTGGCTGTGGGAGCCTGAGCTAGTCTGACCTTTCTGGGTCCCAGCCTGCCCGGCTGTAGGGACCTACATCAGAGGGCTGGCCGTGTAAGTTGTTAAAGTTGTGTGTTGCCCGATGAGACGCTCAGAGTGTTCTGTGCACAGAGTGTCCACAGGGTGTTTGCTGTTTTGGATTCTCCCTAACTCCCTCTGGCCCAGTCTTACAGGATGGCCATTGCCCAGGTGACCTGCCACGGTCCCTCGTGAGCTGGCCCATGCGGCTACGTCTGCATGAAACCCTCCCTTCTGGAGCCTTTTTGACCTATTGCCAGTCTCTGCTTCTGAAAACCTCCCTGAGAGCTCCACCTCCTTACTTTCATGATTCTCTCTTTGATTCAGTCCCATTTGTAGCCCAGCTCTGCCACTTAGGACTGTGTAATCTTGGGCCAGATATGTGTCTGCTCTGTGACTTGGTGTTCTCATCTGTAAAATGGGGGTAATGATAGCCTCCACCTCACAGGATATTATGCAGAAGGAAGGAGCTGAGGCCGGTAAGGTCCACCCCTGTCCTGTGGCAGGAGCCCAGGAGCGTTAGCAGCAGCGGCTGGACAGTGGGTGGGGGGCTCTTACTTCCAGGCACCAAGCCCGCCGCAGAGGAGGTGCTCGGGAAATGTGGTAACTGGAGGGGGGGACAAGAGGGAGAGTGCAGAGGCCTCAGGGATGTTCGCTGCCAGGTGTGGGCTCAGAATATTTTTCTACAGTAAGAGGAGCTTGAATTGAATGAGATTTACTTTGGACAAGACCTCCGTTCTCCATCGCCTTTGGCTTTAGACCCATCCTCAGGGTCTCACTGAGACGTCACACCTTCCGACTCCTCGGCTGTCCGGGACCCCTGCTCTCCCTGGACCTTCCTGCTCCCAGCCCTGATCCCTCCCCGCTTGTCCACACCCGCTAGACGGTGCAGAAGGGCAGTGGGCACTGTCTCCCCTGCCCCTGCTCGGCCAGCCTGTAGCACCACCTGTGCCCACCAGTCCTAGGGACAGAGGGATCCGCTGCGGGGATGGAGAAGGAAGAGGGGGACACTTGCCAGCGTGTGCTAGTGGGTACTTGCCCTGGATGCCTCGTTCTCACTGCCAGGAGTTGCTGTCATCTCCAGGAAACCGCAGCCGGAGAATTGGGCACCCAGGGCCAGGGTCACAGGGACCAGCAGGCCAGGACCCAAAGCAGGCCTCTGGGACCCCGGGTCTGTGGGGGGCCCCCAGGGGTGGGTCTCTGTGTTTACCTTTATTCTCCTCCCCCCTGGCGTCCAGGTCCGCCGGCGCTGCGTGAAGGGAGCAAAGCCCAGCTCCGGGGAGTCCATGCTCTGCCTCCTCCCCGCTGGCGGCCGCCGGGCCTCCGGGGAAGGAGGAGGCAGAGTCCGCGGAAGGGGCGGGGGCGCCAACAGGAAACGTGGCGGTTTCTTCTAGTCTGAACAGGATATGGGGCAACGTTTTGGTTTTGTTTTATTTTTGCTTTGCCCTGTTCCCCGGTCCTAAGGGCTACCCGAGGCTTCTGAAAGGGAAACTGTCTTCTCAGGAGTCACCACCAGGGGGATGAATTTGGCCTTTGGCATCTTTCATTTTCCCACCTAACAAATGCAGGAAGGGGAGCGACCGGCATAAGCCCAGGCAGGTGTCGCTGGGACGCGCGCAAGGACCCAAAGGGTCCGACTGCGGTAGAAGCCCCGTGGGGTTCCAGGCCTGACGTGGGCGAGTCCCTTTGCTTCCGAGGGCTACCACGTTTACAAGTGCACGACGTAAGATGGTCCTGCAGAGTTTTTCTGAGGCTCAGATAGGAACACACAGCCCAAGCAGCACGTGGAACATGGACACGGGCTGCCTGGCAGCTCTGGAACAAATGCGGAGGCCTGTGGGTTTGAAAGAAATCAAGCCCGCCACGTGGTTATTGCTCCATCCTGCTCACTTGGCACTGGCTGAGGGGGCATCTCCTGTGTGTCTGCCCCGGGCTGGCCCAGGAAATGCATTAAGGGGGCAAGACCCCTCATGCTCACTAGGACGTCACGAGAATTAGTGCTCCAGGTGGCCAATTTGCCCCAGGTGTCAGAGAAGCACCTTTAATCATGACTAGGCTAGGCCCCCTCGGCCATTTGTTCCCAGAGGCAGGGGGCAGGTGCAGAGGCCAGCAGGGAAAAGGCATGTTTGGGGAATGCAGAACCCCTGGATGGCCAGGTGGTCTCAAGTCTGCAAAAAAAGAGAAAAAAAGCCAGCAAACTGGGTTTAATGGAATGTATGCCCTGAAATAAAAAATGTGGAGTGCTGCAGACATATTAGTAGTGCAGAATGTCAGATGGGCATAAAAATATCCAGCTCTGAGATGCACAACGGTGGGAAAAGAGCTTCTCAGTGGGAAACTAAAACTTCCAAACGGAAAAGCCAGCCCCCAATAATAAGGCTTGTTATCTATTGAGCATATGCATGAATCAATCACTCGGCACATTAATCCTGCAGGGGTACCTCTCTGAGAATTGGCTATTTCTAGAATTGATTTCCAGCTGGTTAGCCTGCTCCCCCTTGCTGGGCTCTGGTCCAGAGCAAGACTCTTAACATGGAACAATCACAACATGATATGCAATGGCTGAGGATTCCCTGGGAAAACAGAGCTGGCACCAGTCAACCTGGGGCTGGATCATGGAAGACTTTCTGGAAGAGGTGATTCCTGAGAGATTCTTATGGGATGAATAAATCCGGGAATATGCAGGCAGAGAAGGGCAGGGGAGCTGAGTGAAGGCCTGCAGGCATAGACGCCCTGGGGTGTGTGCCGAGGCAAAATACTTGAGTGTCTAAAGTGTGGGAGGGGGCAGGGCAGGGGAGAGGGCAGCGCTCCCTGTACCTTGAGGCCTGACGCTGTGTCCTCCTTATGGAGGCTTACTACCTGCTGTTCATGTTCTCCTGCCTCCCCTCATCCCCCTAGCTCAGGCCCTTCCTTGTAGCCACTCTGGTCTCTTGTCAGTAACAGGAGGTCTCGCCTGATTTTGCTGAAACTCAAATTGGAGCAGGTGACCCCCTCCTCGCATTTGAAAACGTAAAAGGGGTTGAAAACTTAAAAGGCACCAGGTGGGGGGGAGGGTGGGGTCCCTGGTGTTCTGAGAGTCCCTGGGCTGGGAAAGCATTCAAAGTCAAAAAGCTTTAAAGACCCTGCCAGCCAAGCACAGCATGTCTACAGGCCACACTGGCCTGAGGCCCAACAGTGTACCCTGAGGCCCAGCAGTGTACCCGAAGGACCAGCAGTGTACCCAAAGGACCAGCAGTATACCCCGAGGTCCAGCAGTGTACCCTAAGGCCCAGCAGTGCATCCAAAGGCCCAGCAGTGTACCCCGAGGCCCAGAAGTGTACCCGAAGGCCCAGCAGTGTACCTTGAGACCCAGCAGTATACCCGAAGGCCCAGCAGTGTACCCTGAGGCCCCAGCAGTGCACCCTGAGGCTCAGCAGTGCACCCGGAGGCCCAGCAGTGTACCCTGAGGCCCAGCAGTATACCCCAAGGCCCAGCCGTGTATCCTGAGTGTGGGCTCGGAGCCCTAGTGGAATGGCCCTGCCCACCTCTCCTGTCTCAGCTTTCCTGACCCAAGTCCTCCTGAATCTGAGCTCTGAGGGCAGAAGCCAGGGGAGGTGTAGACCCCAGGGTGGCAGGGGAAAGAGGGGGAAACTAACCGCCAGCAGCCGCGGCTGCCCCTGAACTCTCCCAGAACCCCGGCCTGGACACCAGTCAGCAGAGCAAGACAAACCCGCGCAGACTTGACTTTCCTTTCTCTTCCTCTCCTCAGCCTGGGGGCAGTGCTGGGCCTGAGAGTTCCTGTTAGTGGTGGGGCTGGCTGCCCATAAATCTTCTCCCCCACCTACCCACATACTGGCCAGGAAATGAGCTGTGACTTGCCCAAAATCACACACCTGAGACTAGAAGCCAGGTGTCCCAGTTCAAGCTCCAGGCCAGAGCTCTGGCCATTTAGAAAGCCTGGCCATCGAGTTCACTGCGCTTTTCCATCAGGCAGCTAAGTGACCTCAAACTGCCATTGGCATCCCCAGGGCTTCCCAGGGTGACAAAATGAGAGCTCCACTTTTTGAAAAGCCTTGGGGAGGGTGATGGGGGCTATCCCTTCGCTCTGCCACAGCTTAGGGCTTTCAACCCAGACTGGTGGCATGTGCCTGGGTTTGGGTCTCTAAGTTAGCTGCTTACCACCTGTGAGCTCTTGGGCGAGTTATTTGGGCTCTCTGTGGCACGACGTCCTCATCTGTCCCCAGATAATGTGCTGTTTCTTGACCAACACTCTTATCCTTTTCTAAATAAGTGCTGTCTGGAGTGCTCTGTGTAGGAAGATTTGCCCTGCTCTGGGCCATCAGGGTCCCCAGCAGGAACAGGAGAGGTTTGGGGCCAGGCTGGTGTCCCTGGACAGTTGCTGAGGCCTGTTCCAGAGCTCAGGTCATGCTCCCCGGGGCGGACGTGATGTGGTGCAGCAGGTGGCAGCTGGGCAGGGCTCTCCTTACCCAAGTGCCACCTCTCTTGGGGTCACAATACATATCTGCACTGCTGTGCCCTCAACCAAACATGTTCACACGCATGACATCACCGCATCTCCAGCAGCCACTGGAGGAGCTGCTAGACCAATATTACCGGGAAGAACTAAAGTTCAGGGAGAACCTGGCTTCATCTGGCTCCAAACCCTGGGCCATTCCCCACGCTCCCAGGCAGATCTGAGGAAAACTAATGCTATCAAGGATGTGGTCCTGAAACAAATGTTCTTGGGCCGCACATTCAGCCTGCCATGATGCTCACTGCGTGCCTGTCCCATCACCAATGTTTGTTGAGCTTCTACTCATGCCAGGTTCTCCTGGCCTTGCTCGGGCTCTTCTCCCTGACTCTCTGTGACTCGGCTCTTCCTCCAGGGCTCGGCTCCCTCACCGCCTCCCCCTAGAGTCCCCCTGGGGCCTCTCTCTGCCTGCCTCTGAGTTCCATGTGCTGCTCACAGCTGCACTGGAAGTGACCCTTCTGATAAGTGTCTGTCCTCATGCATGCCTTCCCCTCTGGGCAGGAGCTCACCAAGGGCAGGGCTGTGTGTGTTTATTATAGTGTAAACTGTGTACCCCAAAATTCATATGTGGAGTCCTCACCCCCAGAACCTCATAATGTGAGTGCATTTGGAAATGGAGCCTTTAAGCAGGTTATTAAGTTAAAATGAGGTCATTGGGGTGGGTCCTGTTCCATATAACTGGCATCCATATAAGAGAGGCAATTAGGACACAGACACATGCAGAGGGACCATCACGTGAGGCCACAGGAAGGTGACAGCCATGTACGAGTCAAGGAGCGAGGCCTCCAGAGAAACCAACCTTCAGACACTGACCTTGGACTTCTGGCCTCCAGAAGTATGAGGAAGGGCATCTGTGGACAAATCCCCAGGGGCGCTCCGTCTCGGCGGCCTGAACAGACTGACCCCGTGTTCTGAGCCTCTCTGACTTCCCAGGGGTTTCCTCCTGCCTGGCTCAAGGAAGGGGCCCGTACATGCTTCTGGAACTGAACACAAACTATCCTCTAGATAATGTCCTGAGGCTAGAAAGTCACCGTGGACAATGTGAAAATTTTCTACCAGGAAAGGATAGGAAAAAAGAGTTTTCTATTAAATATCATTTCAATCAAATATCATTTAAGCACAGGGACTGAATGACTATACAGTTTCTTTCATCACACAAATGCCTAGACAGTGGAGCCTTCACTCAACCTGACGTGAGCACCAAAAAATGTGTATACAGAGTCCATTTGGAGGGACTGCTCTTTACTTAACATGATTCTGCCATTACTCTGAATGATGTGAGGTGGGGGAATGGCTTCCCTGAACCCCTATTTCATACCTATGAGATGGGACAGTGATGCTTAGCCTGCCAACTTCACACTTCACTGGAAAGTTGATAAATACACTTGTGCTGATCTTTGTCCTAGTGAATAAAGGCTTGTTACAAATATGGACATATTTTCTTCTGAGTCCTGGCTGCTTTCATACCCGTTGCAGGGAACAGGCACAGATGGGTCAAGGTTGGAGAGTGGCTCCATCTCAGACCAAATATATAGTTACCGACAAGTGGCTTCAGCCCTCTCTGAGCCCCAGTTCCTTGCCTGTAAAAGGCGGGTGGTGATGTCTTCAGTGTGGGATGGCCAAGAGTACCAGAAGAGAAAATGGTGCAAAGGCCCAGCACTGGGCATGCTGTCTGGATATTGATTTTTTAATCTGATTTCAAGAGAAGGTCCGAGGAGTTCCAGAGGGAGAAGACCTTTCTAAGTGCTGAGGACTTCCTGGAGGAGGGGGCAGGGGGACTAGGCTTTGTGGTGAGGTGGGAGATGGGTTTCAGGTGGGAGATGGTATCTTTAAGGAAAATAACATCATCACTTTCAACATCAATGTCCCCTTGTTGAGAAATGACCTTTGGCACGGAGTTACCCCCCACCCTCCCACAAGTCTGGAAGGTCAGCAGTAGATAGTATGATCATTATCAACTGAAGTACAGTACCGTCAGCCCCTGCACCTCGCCATCTACACTTAGCCATTCACACCCCCTTCCCACATAGCTTTGTGTCCAGCACCTGCTCTCTCCTCTAGGCCTACGTTCCCCTGGGAGGGGGGCAAGTGGCAAGGAGGGTCCGCCCCGGGGTTACCTGAATACTCATACAAGGGAGAGAGAAGGACACCGGGACTCACCAATTTCTTCTTTGCCAAATCACCTTCTTTGCTACCCACTGGGTCATTTTCACTGAGCTTCATGTCTGTTTTTCAGACGAGGGACTGGGTTTTTTGTTCCTGAGAGAGAGAGAGAAAAGGAAGAAGCCATTAGACACTTACTGTCACAGATGGATACTCAGGGGAGGTGGCCCCCAAATGGGTAAGGGGCCCTGGTCAGGGCACCGGTGACTTGAGCGTCTCCCTGCTCCTTTCTGGCTTCAGTTTCCTCATTTGCAAGGTGGTTGGGTGGACCGCACTGTGTGCCCCTCACTTGCTGCATTGCATACTAGACGCAAGCCTCTCCCTGAACCATTCTCATTCCGATGGTCACTCCAGTGGTGGG